GATTTTAATAGCTCCAAAATCTCCGTAGCTCCCTAATATTTGTAGCTCCATAATTTTAATAGCTCTGTATTTTCAGTAGCTCCATAGTATTTATAGCTCCATAATATTTATAGCTCCATGATTTTAATAGCTCCAAAATCTCCATAGCTCCCTAATATTTGCAGCTCCATAATTTTAACAGCTCTGTATTTTCAGTAGCTCCATAGTATTTATAGCTCCATAATATTTATAGCTCCATGATTTTAATAACTCCATATCCTCCATGGCTCCCTAATATTTGCAGCTCCATAATTTTAACAGCTCCGTATTTTTATAGCTCCATTATTTCAATAGCTCTTTATTTTTATAGCTCCATAATTATAATAACTCCATATCCTCCATAGCTCCATAGCTCCATAGCTCCATAGCTCCATAGCTCCATAGCTCCATAGCTCCATAGCTCCATAGCTCCATAGCTCCCACAATTAGAGTCCCCCAAACCCAATATCCCAAGCCCAAAATCTCAAACCCCTCTCCCCAATTCCCAATTCCCAATTCCAAACCCCCACCATCATAATCCCCAACCACCCTCCCCAACCCGGGCGCCCCAGCGCCAGCGGCGGCCGGCGGGCCGCGGCACGTGCAGGAGCGCGCGCCAAACCCACCGCGCCAGAAACACACAATCAACTCCGCCCTCCAACCCCTCTTTCGCCATACCCCCCCTCGTCCGCCCCGCCACGCCCCCGATGCCGGACGCCGACCCGCTGTCGCTCTTCCTGCTCCAGCGTGCGTACCTCCTCGCGCAGCTCCGCGCCGCGTGCCCCGCGCCCGGGCTCTACGCGCTCGTGCTCGACCGCAAGACCCAGGCCGCGGTGCTAGCCGCCGTGCCCAAGGAAACGCTCCTCCGCACCGTCACCACGCTCGAGCTCCTCGACGAGCCGCGCCGCGTGCAGAAGTACTTGCACGCCGTGTACTTGGTCGAGCCGCTGGTGCACAATCTCAGCTGCATCGCCGCGGACGTGCACGCGGCGCGCTACAGCGAGGGCACGGCGCTCTTGGTGCCGTTTCTGCAGTGGGACGAGCACGCCGGGCGCATGTTCCACTCCGCACGCTTCCTCGGGCACGCCGCGGTGGCGCGGTACCTCGGCGGCGGCGCGCGCGTGGCGTTCGTGCACGCGCTGATGGTGCCCGTGGAGCAGCGCGTGTTCCTCGCGGACACGGCCACGCCCAGCGCGTTGCCGCTCTACTACAACGCCGCGTGCGTGGACTTGGTGTTGCCGCAGGTGCGCAAGGCCGCCAAGGCCATCGTCAACTGCGTGGTGGCCGCGGGCGAGTACCCGCTCGTGCGCTTTGCCGCGGCGCCCGGCGCGGCGCACGCCGCGGCCCGCTTGCCCGAGTTGATCGCGGACGAGGTCCAGCGGCAGCTCGACGACTACGCGCGGCTGGACAGCGGCTTCCCGCCCGCGGCCGCGCCGGACAAGCCGCGCGCGCTCTTGCTCGTGTGCGACCGCTCCGTGGACGTGTTCGCGCCGCTCTTGCACGAGTTCACGTACCAGGCCATGGCCATGGACGTGGTGGAGGGCCTCGAGCGCCGCGGCGTGTACGCGTACGAGGCCGAGGCCGAGAGCGGCGAGCGGCAGCGCTTGGAGACGCGGCTCGACCTGCCCGCCGACGCCACGTGGCTCGCGGTGCGCCACGCGCACATCCTCGACGCGTCCGACCGCGTAGTGGCCCGCATCGGCGACTTGATCAAGAACAACCCCATGATGGTCGACCGCCTGCGCGCCAAGACGTCCGCGGACCTCATGTACGTGGTGGCGCACCTCCAGGGCTTCGACGACGAGCGCCGCGAGGCCACGCTCCACAAGTCCTTGGTGGACGAGTGCCTCGCCATCAACGCCGCGCGCAAGCTCGCGGAGTTCGCCGCGGACTTCGAGCAGGTCTGCGCCGCGGACGGCACGCTGTTCGACGGCGCCCGCCACCGCCACTTGCACGACGACCTCGTGGCGCTCCTCGCGCGCACGGACTTGCTGGCCCACGACAAGACGCGCCTCGTGTTGTTGTACGCGCTCTACCGCGGCGGCGTGGCGCGCGCGGACGTCGCCAAGTTGGCGTGCTTCGTGGCGGGCCCGGACGCGCCGGTTGCGGCGCTCGTGCGCCGCTGTGCGCTCAACCTCGCCAAGTTGGGCTGCCCCGTGGTCAAGGACTCCGTCCAGCTGAAGCCCGCCCGCCGCCGCACGTTCCACACCATCCACAACGAGGGCACGTACAACACGTCGCGCTTCTCGCCGGGGCTCAAGCGCGTGCTCGCCGGCGCCGCGCGCTACGAGTTGGACGAGGACTGGTTCCCCTACTTCCGCGACAAGCCGCTCGAGGACGACGCGCCGGCCGCGGGCGCCGGCGCGGCAGGCGCGCCCGGCTCCTTGCGCAACCCGCGCATCAAGGCGTCGTGGGCGCCGCCCAGCTCGCGGTCGTCGGCCCTGAGCGCGCGCCGCAACAGCCAGCGTGTCTTCTGCTTCGTGGCCGGCGGCATCACCTACTCCGAGATCCGGCTGGTGTACGAGCTCTCGGACTCGCTCAACAGGGACTTCTTCTTGGGCTCCGAGTGCATCTTGAACCCGCGCGGCTTCCTCGAGGGGCTCCAGGACATCGACGACTCCAAGGGCCTCGCGGACTTGGCCCTCCCGTTCGACGCGGAGTTGAAGTGGGCCGCCAGCCCGGCGCCGGACCACCTCACCCAGGCGCCCGCGCCGCCGCCGGCCACAGGCAGGCGCGGCTCGCTCGACTCGGCGCCCGTGGCGGCGGAGCATCAGGGCGGCAGCAGGTCCGAGGGGCCGCTGCCGCAGAGCGCCAGCCGCAGCAACACGCCGTCTCTCCTCAGCCGCCGGGCCACCTCTGCCGTGGACCTGGCCGTGGAGCCTGCCAAGCAGAAGAAGCTGTCCCGGCTCAAGAGATTTTTCAAGTAGCGGTGCTCGTCGGTCGGATGGTGCGTGGAAGGAGGCCCGTCGTTGGGACGCGGCTTCGGCGAGGGGCTAATATGACGCCGCTTCGGCGAGGCGCATCAGTATGACGCCGCTTATCAGTATGACACCGCCTTGGTGGTGCCTGGCTTCTGGCGTGCCGTTTTGAGTATGCGATGGAATATTGGTTGAAAAGGTCAGTCACTGAGAGATTGTCGAGTGAGGAGCCATGCATCTTGACACCTTTGAGGGATGGCCAGAATCAGGGGGAAATCTTCTCTTCGAGAGAGACGCCGGAACAAACCATAGACCGAGGAGAAATCTTGGATGGGCACCGTCCTGGAAGAGACCGTTTTGGGAGAGATCGTCTTGGGAGAAATCGTCTTGGGAGAAATCGTCCTGGGAGAAATCGTCCTGGGAGAAACCGTCCTGGGAGAGACCGTCCTGGGAGAAACTGTTCTGGGAGAAACCGTCCTGGGTGAGGCGCTTCAGCCGGTGACGTCCCGGGAACCCCAAGGAACGGCCGCCCAGGTGTTTTCAATCTCGGAGGGCGTTCTGCAAATGTCTCGAACGGGGCCTGTCTGAAATACACTCAAACGATCAAAGGCAGGTCCATCGCTCTGCTCTGAACCCAACGGCAAACCGCCCCATTGCTGACGGTTCGGTAGTTCTGATTTCGCACCCATCAAACCAAGACTGTCTCTAAGCCCGCGGGTGGTTCGCGGATGCCGTCCGGCCAGAAGGCGCGAGGCTTGACATCCATCTCATCTTGGCGCGGCCCCTAGTTCAGGCCCTAGGGAGAACGGGCACATTCGAAAGACACAAAACAAGCTACCATCTACATAGATAAGGCCCTGGACGGCCGTCCAAAGATGGGGCCGAGCCACGCGGCTTTCTAATTTGTGGGGACCAGCTCGGAGCCCGGGCTCCGGCACCTGGCTCTTGCATAGAGCCGCGACTGTTGGCTCCACGCTGTTCACTTGCATGTGGACTCGCGTGTGCTTATAAATAAGCGCTTGTCACGTGCAGGCGCGAAATAGCTGATAAAGTTTCGGCTCGCCTCCGTCCCAGACTTTTCCGACCACACATCTTTCCGCTGGCGAAAACGGAAGAATCAAGAACTCGTTTTTTTTTCTCACCTTTCGGTCATGGAACAGTTGGCTTGGCTGCAGCAGCTGGCCTACCATAACTGGGATGTTTTGGCCAAAGTCCCCTTCCTAGCTTCCCACGAGATGAGTCTCACAAAGAGCAACGGGACTTTGCCCTTGCCGCTAGGCTCCGGCTGGCTTTCTTGTCAATGTAGCGATGGCTGGGGCCCTCTTTCCCCCATCTATAATGACTTGGCGCCCTGCTTTCTCCAGGGAGAGCTTTTCTCCGCCGCAGGCGTGCTTATGATAATCACGGGGATCTTCCAGATCAGAAAGCTTGTCCGCAAGAAGATATCCTTCGGAAACAAGGTCAGCTGGGCGTTCTACCTGAAATTGACGCTTGCCGCGTTGCACGTTGCTTTTGCGGCCGTGGTGGCTATGTCTTACGGCGCCCGCGACGTGATTTACACGGGCCTTGTGCTCAATGTTGCCGCGGCCGTGGTGGCATTTGCCATCCACTACTTGGAGCAGTTCAAGTCGAACATCTCCAACGGCGTTCTTCTCTTCTACTGGCTTTTCCAGGTCGTTTTCGGCTTGGCCAAGTTTGCGTCGTTGAAATTGAGATCCGAAGTCAACTCCACGTATGCCACTGTGTCGATCTTGGCCACTGCCAATGCTGCGTTTGTGCTTCTCTTGGAGAGCTGGTTTGCGCCTCAGCCAATCAACGCGTTGGGCCAGGAAATCGGCGTGTCTCCCTTTGACCGTGCAGACGTGTTTTCGCGCATCTCGTTCAACTGGATGGCGCCATTGATGAAGAAAGGCTTCTACCAGTACTTGAGTGAAGTAGACCTTCCATTCTTGCCCAAGTCCCTCAAATCAGAGAACACCAGTGCCGCGTTCTACCACTTCTGGAACAAGCAGGATTCTCCTTCCTTGGTGCTTGCTCTCTCCAAGGCGTTTGGCGCCCCTTTCCTTCTTGGAGGTGTCTTCAAGGGGTTGCAGGATCTGTTGGCATTCGTCCAGCCACAATTGCTCAGGCTTTTGATCCGCTTTGTGAACGATTACTCGCAGTCGGTGAAGGAGGGCGAACCATTGCCCCTCACTCGGGGCTTGATGATTGCCGGCGCCATGTTTGTTGTCTCCGTCACCCAAACCGCATGTTTACATCAGTATTTCCAAAGAGCATTTGATTTCGGCATGAACATCAAGTCTTCCATGACATCTGTTGTATATGACAAGTCTCTCGTGTTGTCCAACGAAACAAAGCAAGCGTCCAACACAGGCGACATTGTCAACTTGATGGCGGTTGATGTTCAGAGATTGCAAGACTTGGTACAGAATTTGCAGATCATTTGGTCAGGGCCTTTCCAGATCGTTTTGTGCTTGTACTCTTTGCATGGCTTGTTGGGCAATTCCATGTGGGCAGGCGTCTTCATCATGGTCATCATGATTCCGTTGAATGCTACGATTGCTAAATACCAGAAGAAATTGCAGAAGACGCAAATGAAGTTCAAGGACGAAAGGTCCCGTTTGATCAGTGAGATTTTGAACAACATCAAGTCTTTGAAGCTTTATGGCTGGGAAGCACCTTACTTGCTGAGATTGAATCACGTGAGAAATGACAAGGAGTTGACGAACCTCAAGAGAATGGGTATTTTCAGCTCTGTCACGAACTTTTCTTGGAACTTGGCTCCTTTCTTGGTGTCATGCTCCACATTCGGATTGTTTGTACTCTTGAACAAGGACGCTACCTTGTCCACTGATATTGTTTTCCCTGCATTGTCTTTGTTCAATTTGTTGTCCTTTCCTTTGGCCGTTGTGCCTATGGTAATTACAAACATTGTTGAGGCCCAAGTAGCCATTTCAAGATTGACCAAATTCTTGACAAGCGCAGAGTTGCAGAAGAATGCAGTGACAAAGCTTCCCAGAGCTGAAAAAGTCGGTGATGTGGCCGTGTCTGTCAAGAACGGTACATATTTGTGGTCCAAGCAAAAGGGAGAGGAATCTTACAAAGTAGCTCTTTCCAACATCAACTTGGAAGTCAAGAAAGGCCAATTAGACTGCATTGTCGGCAAGGTTGGTTCCGGAAAGTCTTCCATTCTTCAATGTCTTTTGGGAGACTTGTACAAATTGGACGGTGAGGCAAAGATCCATGGAAGCGTGGCCTATGTTTCCCAGGTCCCCTGGATCATCAATGGAACCGTCAGGGAGAACATTTTGTTTGGTCACAAATATGACCCCCAATTTTATCAGAAGGTTCTTGATGCTTGTGCATTGAGTGTTGACTTGAAGATCCTTCCAAAGAAGGATAAAACCGAGGTTGGCGAGAAGGGTATTTCATTATCTGGAGGCCAGAAGGCTCGTCTCTCGTTAGCCAGAGCTGTTTATGCCAGAGCCGATGTGTATTTGCTTGATGACCCATTGAGTGCTGTGGATGAGCATGTTGGAAGGCATCTCATCAACAATGTCTTGGGCCCTCAAGGTTTGTTGAGGACCAAATGTAAGATTTTGGCTACGAACGCAATTCATGTTTTGAGCATCGCAGATAACATGCATATGGTCAAAGATGGTAAATTGGTGGAGCAAGGTACTTACACGGACATCATGTCTCAGGAGAGAAGCCAGTTGCGCCAATTGGTTCTTGAGTTTGGAAAATCTACTCCCGAATCTAGCAAGGTTAACAGTTCAGCAAACTCTACAAAAGCCGAAGAGATTGTCCCCGAAACCGAAGAACTTGGTGGTCTCCCTACGTTGGTAGATGTATCAGAAACCTCTAGTCTTAGAAGAGCATCCGCCGCTCCTCTACTCTCCGATGAAGAGCGCTTGTTGCTCCAACATGAAGATGAAGATGAGGACGAAGACACCAAGGCCCGGAAGGAACATTCCGAGCAAGGCAAGGTCAAGTGGGACGTTTACAAGGAATACGCAAAGGCTTGCAACCCATTCAATGTCACCGTCTTTTTGAGTACCACAGTCTTGTCAATGGCATTCAATGTTCTCTCCAACATTTGGTTGAAGCATTGGTCTGAAGTGAACACAGATAATGGTCATAATCCAAGTGCACTCAAGTACTTGGGCATATACTTCCTCTTGGGTATTGGCTACTCTGTTTCGACATTGACTCAAACATGTATCATGTGGATTTTCTGTACCATTGAAGGTTCTAAGAAGTTGCATAATGGAATGGCCACCAGTGTCCTCAGATCGCCTATGTCTTTCTTCGAAACCACACCAATTGGTCGTATCTTGAACAGATTTTCTAACGATGTTTACAAAGTTGATGAAGTTCTCGGAAGAGTTTTCGGAATGTTTTTTAGCAACACTGTTAAGGTTTTGTTCACCATTATTGTGATTTGCTTTTCCACTTGGCAGTTTATCTTCATTGCGATTCCATTGGGTGTCTTGTATGTCTATTATCAGCAATACTATTTGAAGACATCGAGAGAATTGCGCCGTGTTGACTCGACCACGAGGTCGCCAATTTATGCCAATTTTCAGGAGAGTTTGAACGGTGTGTCAATCATCAGAGCATATGGCCAAGAAGACAGATTTAAGCATTTGAACAGAAGCAGGATTGACAAGAACATGCGTGCTTATCACCCATCCAGTAACGCCAATAGATGGTTAGCCGTGAGATTGGAACTTTTGGGTTCGATCATCATCTTGGCTGCTTCTGGATTGGCTATCTTGAGCTTGAAAAGTGGTACCATCAGTGCCGGTTTGATTGGTTTGTCTGTCTCCTATTCCTTGCAGATAACCCAATCTTTGAATTGGATTGTCAGAATGACTGTGGAAGTTGAAACCAACATCGTGTCGGTGGAGAGAATTTTGGAATACTCCAGACTCACTCCCGAGGCTCCAGAAATCATTGAAGAACGCAGACCACGTGAGACTTGGCCTGAAAAGGGTGAGGTTGTATTCAAGAACTATTCCACGAGATATAGACCAGAATTAGATCTTGTCTTGAAGAATATCACCATGAGCGTTAAGCCTCATGAGAAGATCGGAATAGTTGGAAGAACTGGTGCTGGTAAGTCTTCCTTGACGTTGGCCTTATTCAGAATAATTGAAGCTGCGAATGGTCATATCGAGATCGACAACACCGATACAAGTGAGCTTGGTTTGGCTGACTTGAGACACAAGCTCTCTATTATTCCACAAGACGCCCAAGTGTTCCAAGGAACCATTAGAAGCAACTTGGATCCTACTAACTGCTACAGTGACGAGCAGCTTTGGAGAGCTTTGGAGTTGTCGCATTTGAAGGACCACGTTTTGAAAATGTACGAGGACCGCGATAAAGAGACAAGCGAGATCCAATCGGCCTTAGATGTCAACATGAGCGAAGGTGGCTCAAATCTTTCAGTGGGCCAGAGACAGTTGATGTGTCTCGCTCGCGCTTTATTGATTCCTTCCGCAATTTTGGTTTTGGATGAAGCCACAGCGGCAGTCGACGTTGAGACCGACCGTGTGTTGCAACAAACAATCAGATCCGAGTTCAAGGACAGAACTATCTTGACCATTGCGCATAGACTAAACACCATCATGGATTCTGACCGGATTGTCGTTTTGGAACAAGGAGAAATTGCCGAGTTTGACACTCCCGAGAATCTCTTAAAGCGCAAAGATTCTTTGTTTTACTCCTTGAGTAAGGAGGGTGGTTTTGTTGAGGATGAAAAGGACGAGGCGTGAACTCAGAGTCAAGCTCACTTATTTTTCCCCAGTGAGGAAGTTTATTTAGCTAGTTATCAGAAAAGTATTTATTACCAAGTGTGAATACACATACTATATGAATCCTTCGATGCAGCGCATATACCTGGAAATTGTTTGGTTCATAAACTTATTTAGTGTTCGCTTCTCTTTCTCAATGTATGTATATGGTACAATGGGTAGAATTCTTCACGACTCGAGACCTCACATTTGTTGTGGGATGAAATGGCAGCCGTGAGTTGTGAAGTTTGTTTTTCCAAAACACCATCGTCATTGATTTGAAAAATTTCAAGCAAGTCTTCGCCTGAATCAACATCAACTGCGGCATATAAATTATCCCCAACTAAAGCTACGTCAACCACAGGCGTTTTTGTTAGAAGCTTTTGCTTGAATGTAACGGAGTTATTCTCATCGATATTGAAAGTCAATATGCAATTGGTGTTCTCACACAAAACAAAAAGCAAGTTAAAGCCATTCTTTGTAATTGAAAGCACTCTGGAAACGCAGATCTCTTTTGGCGAGTCTTCTTGCAAGAACCTTTCGGGTGGGAAATGCGCGTCCGTCAAGTGAGGCTCAATTAGATCACGAAGCTCAACTCTAGAGAGTTGCTTGCTGGCCCACCAGTCCCACAACAACAAGTAGTCGTCACCTCCACCACTGATGAGCAAGTCTTTATTGAAGGAGGGAAGATGCATGCATGACACAAATTCGTGATGACCAAACAACCAGTGCTTCACAACGTACGACAAAGGGTAGTGAGTAACCTTGATGTGCTCATCTCTGTCGCCGGTAAGCACAAATTGCTGGTTGTTGTGTTCTGCGACGAGCACGTCACTTAACATGGATACGTGACCCAAAATCGGCACGAGGTCTTTTTCAGGCACAGCTTCGCTGTCGTCATTTCCAATCTCGTAAACGTCACCGAACTTGTCGGCCAAAATGATGCTCTTGTCATCGATTGTGGTCAGTACGGCACACGGTCTTTTTGGGAAAACCTGGCGTTTGATCAACGAGAGACAGTTTTCCTGGGTGTAATCAATTTGAAAGATCACCGCGGCCTTATCACTGTCAGTGGTGCCGATGATGTGCTTCTCATCCCTTGTCAACGCCAAGCACCGAAGATAGTTATAGATAACCGGGGCTCCAGGGCCAGGCGGACAAATCTTGGGCTCCTTTTTGTTTGTCTTTGCTTTCTTGGTTACAGGTTCATTGCCAGAATCAGTGAGCTCCTTCTTCTCTTCAGCCTCGCGCTTGGCCTTGAGCTGTTTTTCTTGAACAGTCTGCAAATCCACGTCGTCCGCCCAGGACCCAATGAGGGCGCCATCCGAGGTGCGGAACGCCAATAGATGGTTTTTAACCGATGCGAAAAGGTGGCCCCCGCTTTGGTCCGCAACGAAGATTTGAAAGGGGTGCTTCATATCACGCAAGAGGTAATGGGTGTGTTAAAAATGACACGGGCCCAGCGACTTATGGTAGACATCGGGGACCTATGCACAGGACCGGATTTTTTTTGTCCATCTCGGAAGCAAGGGCCTGCACACAGACGTGCTTCTCTCCGCGTTGTCTATGCCTTCTTGAAGCCCCACCAGGTGCTTTTCGCAGCCGCGGGCTCAGGCACCAGGTCCGGCGCTGTACCGTCGGAGGCGATATACTTGCGGGGCTGCTGTGTATGGGAAAACGACTGGCTGGAACGCTCGGCCACATTGGGGTTTTGTGGCTGCGGCGCTTTTATGAGCGACGATAGAAAGCCGCCCAATCTGTAGGCCGCGCCCGCCTCGTCCATCTCCGTGGCGAAATGCGTGGGCAGCTGGAAGTTGAAGATGAATTCGTCGCACGTAGCGTTCCAGATCTGGTAGTTTTTGGTGTGCTGCCATTTCTTGACGAACTCGCCGTTGAAGGATTTGAGGCTGCCCAAGCGCTTATCCGCTTGCGGATCGAACCCCGGCGGAGGGAGCTTGAAGCGGTCCACGTATTGCTGGAAGCGCACGGTTGCCAAGAGACTGCGCACATAATCCTCGAACTGGTAGCGGATGTAGTCGTCGCTGCCCTCGTACGATTCATCGGTGGAGTGTGCGGCGAGGAGAACAGAGACAAACTTCTTGTCGAGGGGCAGGAGCCGCAACTCCTCGGGCCGGCCGCACGGGTACGAGACGGCGCCCGCGTCGAGGTCCACCAAGACGTCGACCTTGAAGCGCGCCAGCTGGTTCACTATGAGCAAGTTGGAGCAGCCCACCATGAACGAGGGCGCCTTCAACTCGTCCATCTGGGGGAGGGGGAGGTACGGGTTCCAGAAGCAGCCCTTGGTGTTGAACACCTGGAGCGGCAAGCCGAAGAAGCGGAGCATGGACACGCGGTCGTTCGTCTTGAGCGTGGCCGGTTTCTCCAACGGCGAGTGCTTCTCCGTGTAGTCGCACAAGGGGCACCCCGAGAGCTCGAGGTGGTGGATGAGGTTGGGCACCAACGCGATCATGTTGTTCTGGAACTGCGTGAGGAGCTCGAGGTTGTTGTTCGAGTACACCAACACGCGTTTTTCCATGAGCAAGGCCTTGAACACCACGAGGAGCTCGTGCTGGAACCGCGCGAGGAGCGCGCGGAGATCGAGGTTGACGAAGTACTCCTCCTGGTCCTCGTAGCGCACCGGCTCGAGCGGGTCGTGCGGGCCGGACGCCGGGTCCGGCACAGGCAGGGCGCCCGGCGCCGACTGCTGCCCGCGGAACTGCTCGTTGAGGTTGTCGAAGAGGCTCTCCAAGAGCTCGAAGTTGCCGAAGCTTTCCTGCTGGAAGAAGCTGTGGGTGATGATGGACAACTTCTCCTTGATCTTGGTGAACACGGGCAGGTGGCGCGAGAGCACCACCACGGCCTTCTGCACGATGGAGCGCGTGATGTCGCCGGTGCGGCTGCGCTCCGTCTCCGAGAGCTCGGCGGTCTTGACCTGCCGCACACACGCGCAGCCAAAGAGCGTCTCCAAGTGGTTCGGGTTGCCTCGGAAGCACTCGATGTCGCGCAGGTCGTCGAGCGACTGCTGCGTGGCAAAGTCGTAGACGAGGTTGAAGTTCGAAAACGTCTCTTCGAACAAGTGCAGCCCGTCCGGCAACGCCTGGAACGGGAGGTTGCGGAAAAGCTCGGGCCCGGGCCGCGCAAGGTAGTTGGACCGCCACCACAGGACCTCGGGCCCGCGCGCGTGGTGGAAGTCCACGAGGCACACGGCAAACACGCGGTCGCTCTGCGGCGCCGCCGTCTCTGCCAACGCGGCCCGGCGTGGCGCCGGCTCGATCGGGAGATTCCTGATTTCGACGGACGGGTGTTTGCCGTGGCCCGCCGCCGGCGGCGCCAGCGGCTCGCCCAGCGCCCGAGCCGCCCGCACAGGGGTGTTAGTGGCCGGCACGGGGGTTTTTGCGCCCGCCGCCGACTCTTGCGGCGCCCTGCTGCCGGTGCTCTCCATGCTCGGCTTTCGCTGCGGCGTCGACGCCAGCCCGAGCCGCATGGGCCGACACACAAAGCCGGCCTGGTCCGCGGCACCGTCTGCTTTTGTGGCGCCTTCTGCTCTGGCGGCCTTCCCTGTTTTCGGGGCCTTGTCCTGCTTGTCCTGGTCGGTCGTCCCGGCCCGCTTCTGGATGCGGAGCGGCCGCAACGAGAACTCCGAGGCCCCGGGCGCGCGCGGCGTGTCGCCGTCCAAAAAGGGGCTGTTGCCTGCACTGGCCATATTTGAACGTGGAGGGCCCTTCGGGAGTCGGAAATAGTCAGCGAGCGGCAGCGTGTGTGTGGAAACGAGCTGCTGCGGTGTCGTGGTTGGGGCCGGAGGAGCCGCGTTGAGATCACCTCTCATGTCCGCGCGCGCCTGGGTGCAAATGGCACGGCTGGGCCGGGGCCGCGGGGCCGGCCCATGGCGAGGCGGCTTTTTTTTGGCGAGGTGTTTTTTTTGCGTTTTCGGGCGGATTTGTGGATTTGTGGATTTGGGATTGGTGGAGTTGGGATTGGTGGAGTTGGGATTCGTGGAGTTGGGATTGGTGGAGTTGGGATTGGTGGAGTTGGGATTGGTGGAGTTGTGGGGTTGTGGATTAGGGGACTTGAAATGCCGGGTGCTTGACGTGGCTTTTTTGTGGGCTTGAATTTCGGGGTTGATGCTGGTTGGCTGGCTCTGGCGAATTACTTGGGGTGGTGCGTTTATTGTTCGTTTGGTGCGCCAGCGTTTTTTTTCCCTTTGTTTTCCCTATTGTTCCTCTTTTCTTTCCCCCTTTTTTCCCCTCGTACAGCCAAGCTGGTGTTGAGAATGGGGCCGGTGAGGTTATGGGAGCCCCCGTGCGTTTATTCGATGGCGAAAGGCGTATTGATTCGCGAAAGGCGGAGATGAAGACGTATTAATCTGCGAAAGGTGGAAATGGAAAACGTATTGATTCGCGAATGGTGGAAATGGAAAACGTATTGATTCGCGAATGGTGGAAATCGGGTTTGGGCAGATCGCCCGTGTGAGCGAAACAGTATCCTGTGATTTGGTGCTGACCAGTGTTGGCCCTGATACCGCCTGAACCACAGGCATTGATGCTGCCTTCAGGACGTCTCTTCGCTATAATCTTGAGTTGAAAGAGATGTTCGGCTACATTTGGATATCACGGCCGGGCAATTCCGGCGCTGAAAAGAACTGAACGTTTCTCCGGAACGTTTCAGTTGCTTTGGGCCAAGCGCAGTCGAGAGTATTGCCAGATGCAGTGGTCGTAAGGAGTTGTGACTGAGCATAATGGCCGAGGGGTCGGGGTGCCATAGACTCGTTCTATTTGAGTAGCTGCTGCCCTAATACGCCATACACTGGGGGCCGGCATTGGATTCCCGGCGAGCCCTGTTTGGCATGTTGCACGCATTCAACCAAACTCACGGAAATTGCAGGCGTGACGGCCTGTTGGCGCAACTCGGTACACACTGGCTACTCTTATCTAGTGCAGAGTTCCTAGGCACTGAGGCCAAGAAATAGAGACTCTGGTCTGGGCAATGTTGGATGGCGGATGTAATTTCCTAGCCAAGCTCGCAGCAACCACTATCAGAGGGCAACTTCAACGGGGTTTCTGCGCCACGGCAGTCATACACACTTGGTAGTGCTTTGGTAGCGATGCGTTGTGCAATGTTCTTCATAGCAGAAGAATGAAGGCAGGAAGGGCTAAGGATCGATCAGATGCCATACTCTCATTTTCTGGTCACTCGTATGGTGGTGCCGTATGGGAACTTTGCACGACAAACCAAGAATATTCTCGTTTAGGATTCAAGAAGTATGCCTGCCAAAAATCAGGCCGGGTTCTAATTCAAGATATGTAAGATCAATCAAGTTCACTGCATACGGTTCAAAAGACCTTGCGGGCACAGCCTTGTTGAGGCACCCATCATCTTTCATATGCCCGGAAAGCACCCACCATCGCAGATACTCATTCAAAGAAACCCCGGCAACAGACCCAATCTCTTTGAAAGTCGAGGTTTCACAACCTCAAAAACTTTGGAGACGTATGCTGCCCCAGCGCTCACCTTATAGCCATGCTCACGAGACCAGAATGGTCATGACCGTCGAGATATAATTTTATGGCCATTTAAGATGTGCCTGATGCCCATTTCTCTTGGTGCCAGCAGGATCCTTAATTGTGTCGTATAGCCGGATCGTATAGGCAGATCATATAGACGGATCGTATAGACAGATCATATAGACGGGTCATAAGACGGATCATATAACCGGATCATATACACATATTACCCCATACATGTAGATCAGAGCATTCTTTGTCCATGTTCCTTGCGGATACGTAGGACACTGGATGAAATCGCATGCTCAACACATCTTTACGCCTGGCATCAACTTCTTACCAATCCTCCAAGCTTTTGTCCAGCTCAATCCTCCCATTGCACCAGGAGCCAGACTCTTCCTCCAAAACTTTCTTCTATGACATCAGGGTTAAGGACACGCAAACTTAACTTTTTATTGTAAGCTCGTCCTAAAATTGTCATGGACGCTTCATGTTCTCACGTTTCCAAATTTGGGTGCAAATAATTCTTGTGCGAGCCAATAAGTCATTCTATCAAAACACGCCTGACTTTGAGTCGAGTGGACTGCCCAGTTTCCGAACAATATTCAGCGAACGAAAACAAATCAGCATCATGCAATCGAAATCACCTTTTGTATCAATCAAAATCTCCGGGCTGATACTCCTGGCACTGTGAATGGTTCCAAGAATAAGCCGCCCTCAATACGAGACTCATAACCTTACTCTCTTAGTCAGCATGGGCCTGTGCTTTCTCTGAACATTTGAAACGCAACCCTTGCCACAATTCTAGGTCTTAGTCAGACTCATGGCTCATGTATTGCGTTTCTGGGATTCCATGAACGGCAAGGCCATTGTTGGTATTTGCAATAATGTGCATTGGTTGGGCATATAAGCCCATTCCTCGTGCCCGTGATCGTTCATGGTCGTGCTCAATTTTTTCATCGTTTGGACGGATGACAAATACAGCACCCACAGAAAACATCACTACGAATATGTAATTTTAGACTCTGTGTATTCAAAGCAAGCAAACCATCATATATTCAAACAGCCGAGTATTGCGTTGATATGCTCATTCCTCTGCAAAAGAAAAGTTGGAACTCAGCAAACAAAAAACCCCGAAAGTCTAAAATCCAACATTTGCTCTGTATTATTCTCCGCTATTTGTCAAACATCCATTCCGACGCTCGGCATCGATGTAATCACACAGTAGGCCTAATGTATTGCGCCGTCAGGGCCCAAAATCCAGCATACATTCCACGTGCCGATCGCGGCCCACGACCGAGATAGCAAGTATAGTCACGTGACGCGCCTCGGCGATGTCCGCTTGCTGGTCACCACGATGTATAAAAGGAACCACAACCCCCGTGGTTTTAAGTAGTTTGTAATTGTAGTGCATACTCCAAAACTTCTATACAATGGCTATTTCTTCTGGTTCCAACTTTCCCTCGGGCGTCGACTTCGCGTACATTCCAATTGACTTGTCCACCATCAAGAATGAAGATGCGTTGGGTTGTTCCAAGCCGCTTCCATTGAAATTGGACAAATTGATTGAGCAGAACGCTGGTTCCAACATCTTGTTCGTGTCCGTGCCTGGTGCATTTACACCCACGTGTACTGAGAACCACGTGCCTCCCTACTTGGACCACTTGGAGCAATTGAAGAAGGAAAAGAACATTTCGGCCGTCGTGGTCTTGAGTGCCAACGACCCCTTTGTGCTCAATGCCTGGGGCAAGCTTTTGTTGAAGAACGCCAAATTCGACGTGGGCGCTGACTTGCCCAAGGTTCTCTTTGCCTCGGACCCCAATGCCCAGTTTTCAAAGGACAATGAGATTTCCTTGGACTTGACCGGCAACGGAATGGGCGTCAGAACCGGCAGATACGCTTTTGTGGTGAATGCCGACACCAGGTCCGTCAACTACTATGGCGTGGAGTCGGGCTCCGGTGTGGAGGCCAGTGGGTACGAAGCCATCAAGGCCGCCAAGTTGTAAGTAGGGGCGTAACGACATGAATACATGATTATTTGATGAATTGGAACGAACATATGATCGATGGTTTCGTGGAGTGAGCAGATAAATATTAACAAAGGATTATATAGTTGTTTGGCTGACTGAGACGAACACATGATTATTTGCCTGACATTGAAGTGATAGTTTGACTGACATTACGGTGGGTATATGATTACTTGACTGACTAATGAATATATGATTATTTGGCTGACCTTTTGAAAAAAAAAAACATGATTGTGTGACCGACTTTCTAAAATGAATATATGAGCAATTGACATGTTACCACCTGAACAATGATTCCGTGTTTTGTCGGAATATGGAGCTGTAGACGTGAACGAGTTTGAAAATGCGATGACAGAAATTAGGGATTCATCAACCGACAACGTACATCAACAAATTGACCCTTCAATTGCCAGTTAACCCATCGACCAACAGCCCTGCTCCTCAATTGATCATCAACGAAGCATGTACAGTCTAGGCGGCAACACACCCATGGGTGTGCCACTACCCCACGCAATCTACAATCCCGGAGTTCGGATCTTTTTTATTTCTATTGAATGTTCTGCACTAGCGGCGATCGCGTCTTTGCTGCGCCAACTAGCCAGCCCAACTCAGCTGATTTGCGTGGTCAAAGCACTTACAACTCACCGGAAGCGTCGATGGTCACTCTGGCTCTGGTGGCACCGGACTGCGAGCCAAGAGACTCGACCTTCTGGACCACGTCGTAGCCGCTGGTCACCTCACCAAAGACCACGTGCTTGCCGTCCAACCAGGAGCATGGCACAGTGGTGATGAAGAACTGCGAGCCGTTGGTGTTTGGGCCGGCGTTGGCCATGGACAACAAACCTGGCTTGGTGTGCTTGATGGAGAAGTTCTCGTCGGCAAACTTCTCGCCGTAGATGGACTTACCACCAGTACCGTTGCCTCTGGTGAAGTCACCACCCTGCAACATGAATTGAGGAATGACTCTGTGGAAAGCAGAGTTGGCGTAACCAAAACCCTTCTCGCCAGTGCACAAGGCTCTGAAGTTCTCGGCGGTCTTTGGCACAACGTCGTTGTACAACTTGAAGGTGACTCTTCCGAGCTTGTTGCCGTCAGCGGAGATGTCGAAATAGACTTGGGACATTTTGTATGGTATGGGCTTTTTTTCTCTGGCCAGGCGCCGCGGGGCGGCTTTGGTATTTATATGATTTTTTCGCGTTTCCTGCCTCGAACTCAATGGAAGGTTTCCCATGACGAAACCCAGTCGAGGGCCCGCTGTATGCACACCGCGGCCCCGTGCGCTGGGTGGGTTTGCTCACGTGTGGCTAGGGGTGCGGCCCAGGTGAAATTGCATGGCCCGATTCAGAATGTGGAGAAACAGTTTACTTTTTGCGCCTGGCGTACAGATCTGAAATGGGGCTGAAACTTCGAAGCTGGGGTTGAAACATAGGCTGGGACATGTACGAAACCGGCCGCCAGCGAGACCATCTTTTAGGTTCCCTGGATTCGGGGCAGCCAGGGCTTGTATGTTGGTGGTGTGCATGTAGCACAGCAATCGTGGTTTTCTGCCAAGCACGTATAACCCGGTCCATTCTTGGTGGGTTCACTTGATTTAATTTGATTGTTTGGGTCACAAGATTTGTTTTTACTTTTAAAACTATCGGATCGAGCTGGAAATTATTTGTTGTTCCCGACTGTTCAAGATGGTGCTCGGTTCATCGGACTGAGAGAACCTTTGCCCAGCTAATTCCCGAAAAGACGTGCTGGCTGAGTTCATCTGACGACCAGTATTTTGCGAAGCATGTAGGGTCTTCTCCTTTTTGTTTCCTTTCTTGTCTCTTCTCTTGCCTGTAGTCGAAAATGAAGTGTCTTAAAAAAAGTGCTGATAGTTTATTTCAGGGCTACTGAACTTTAGGGCAAGAATACGCTTAGGGCCAATTGTGCAGTACGGTCCCCGGCTAGCGGCCCAACGGGGGCGATGTTGGGGTTTTGATGTCACTAATAAGCATGGAGCTTTCAGGTGCACGGGCAGACTTGTCTAATTTCCGTGAAGCTGGAGGTGCGAGTGATATATGCGCCATCCTGATCTGGGCTTCGTGGGCGCTTCGGCACAGCGTCTTGGCGATCTTTCGGTTTATTCTGGTTTGTAGTAGGATTGGGCAGAATCGAAGTTATGCCGTGAATGGGCCTTCTCTTGCATCATTCCCTGCTTCAATTTACTCTCACTGCTCAATCAATGGACAGTCTTCATTTGAGACGTGTCCTTCAGCACGCAGTAAAATATGGGACTCTTTCGAAGATTCGTGCTCATCTAGAAGTTCTTGGTTCTGATAGTCTTCTGGAGCGATACGATAAGGGTCTGTCTCATTGAAATGACTTGCAGGGCAGATAAGAAATTACCCTTCATTGGCTAACACATGCTATAACCGATACCAGAGAGTAAAACCGGTCTTTTTTTTGAAAGGTGCTGTGGGTCAGGTTTGTAGAACCAAAGAGAGCGCTTGCAACCTCCTCTGTATTCCAGCAATTCAAAAGGCGTTTATGATCCCCGTCCTTTATGATACACGTGATCTATGGCATCAAAATCACACCAGGCCGGTTCGTTGTAATGGCGGGAATGCTGTCAAAGGTTATGTCTTCTGGAGCGTTGAGACTGACACTACAGTCATCATAAATCTGGCATCGAATTTCCTGTGATTGGAATTCTTGATTTCAGTGAATATGTATCTCAATTGGATAAACCAAGGGCTGAAGTAAGCTCTCAAAATTCATTCCAGACCTCTCTTGTGTGCTTTGCGTCATTCATGGTTGGAAGCTCAATCATTCAAAATGGGCTTCTTCTTGTTTAAAACCTTGCTAGAGTTCACATCAAGCAATGCCCCAGAGTACACGTCAGACTGGCCACGCCGCTTTGCTTCATGTCGTGTAGATAGCTCTACCCAGGTTTTCAAAACTAGCTTTTCACCGTAGATTGACATTCCTTGCGTGCCAGTAATTGCTATTCCAAACTCCTGCCAAACAATTTCAGTCTCTTTTTCATGAATTGTCAGTATAAGACTACGCAACTATTTCATAGTACAGGCAATTGTATTGTTTCAGTCTAGGAGAATCAATAACGTCATACTTACTATTTTTGGCATGAACGGAGGCCCTTGATCTCTGTTTCTTAGTCGAGGTTGAGAAGGTCTCGTCCATCAAGTAGATTCATTTTCATAAGACCAAACAAACTGCAGTATTCATGGCAATAAAAGACAATTCGCGATTACAGTAGTTCACGAGAGCAGCTCTCAATATCACGTCTTTGAAAGAGCGCTTTCAGAAAGCCTAGCTTATCAGGGTTCGTATAAACTCTATATGGAATGGGTTGCGTCCTTCATATGGAGCAAGACGCATTTCCATACCTAGCCTGATAAAACAATATCTCTCGTCACATTGAAGAGAGACCTGGAGTGATCTCAAGCGAGATAAATAAAGGATTTTGAGTGTCGCGCACCGTCGGGTTTGGGGTCCAAAAATCTATTTTCATAGCACCACAGAATGACTAGATCTACTCATGAGCACTGGGTATTCTATAGAAATATGCCTTATTAGCAAAGAATCAGCCACCGGCCGGTCTCATATTTCTCTGCGGGCTCTCAAGGTGCGGACCCAGAATGTGCGGTAGCTGAAGCACATTTACGAGCTTCTCACTCACTAGCCCTGAGGATGTGCAGGCAAACGAAGACGAAGGGACCATGAGTAAAATCTTGTAAACTGTTCCATTTCCCAGTCCGCACTTTCTTGTAACATTGATCTCCATTCCGCACAGTGCAACGTCCAAAGATTTTTCAAAATGAGATTCATAAAGTGTTGAAACACAACCCCTTATAGAGTGCGGCACGACATGCGGACACCCCCAGAAAAACAGCCCGATTGAAAAACATAAGTCAAACCTATGTCATAAGGCGAATATCCCGCCACCTGTGGCGGCCAGCTAGGCTCATTCTTCATAGTAGTATAAAGAAAAAAAAAGTAAAGAACACTGGGGAAATGGCAGCACGTGGGTGCAGCGCTCGTCTAATTATGACAACACCCACGTTTACATATTTGACCCACCGGTCCCAATGTCAGCCACACGCAGTGCGTCCAGGTATGCGGCCGCATGCAGCCCCCCATGCAAAAGCCGCGTAATTTGTCGATGCGATCCCCCACGTGAGACTCTCTGTTTGTAAACTGAGCTCATTAATTTTCTTGTGCTGCTGCAGATCCCAGCGGCTGGCCCTTGCATCTTTCTCTAAAATCCCTCGTTTTGGAGCATCTTCTTTCTTAAGCACCCTTCTTTTTCGAGCCTCCTCTTTCTCTTCTCTTCACCCCTTTACCAATACCAGAACCAGGGCTCAGCCTCAATCTTACTGCACTCGTTGCTAGCCGCCTCAAGCTACAAATAGAAGTTGCAAAGTAAATCACGCAAAATTCAAACTTCATATAAGCGCCCGCTACCCCCCACCTCCAATTCCACAAACGCCTGAGTCATGAGCGGTCTCGTGAAGCCAATCTCACTGGGGCTTTCCCTATGCGCGTATGCAATCGATTCGATATTGTGCAAGAAAATACACAATCCATTGGTTTCGTCGTTGGCTGTGAGTGGCACGCTTGCTTTTGTTGCTTTCAAGCTGCATGCCACGTTGTCACCATACAACTATTCGGACGACCCAACGTTCCTTCCCGACTTATTACTGAACGTAATAAACTTGATATTCATCGTCAGGTTCCCGTTGCGCCTGAAAACGGTCCTTCGTGTCACGTCCAATAAGTACTTGGAGGGGTTCCTTTTCGTGTGTCTCAACGTTGTTGCCGTGCTCTCGCTCTACTCGTCATACCCGTTTTCGTCTTTCTTGAACCTGGCCTTCCGAGGGTTGTTGTGGGTGCTGGTTGCCTGTCCGTATGTGATTTTAGCGTTGAATCTCGCTGAATACAGATGCGCCAACATGACGGATTCTAGTGTGTGGAATATGAAGGCCAAGCTGAAAACCCTCCAAAACAAGCCGCCGAGACCGGGAGCCGGTAGTCTCTTGGCATTGATCGTTGATACCAACAACAGCTTCTTGGCCATTTTCATCGCCCAGTCCTTCGCCGCGGTAAACCTTGACTTGCCGTTCTACGAGAGCTACTTCATCCCGGTGCTCTATAAGTATGCAGCATACTCGATGAAGTTCTACTTAATCTACTGCTTTGTGCTCTACGAGATAGCAGTGGTGATCTATGAAGTTGACGACATCAAAAGCTATGCAGAGCTATACCAGCCCATACAGCTTTGCGTCAAGAAGAGCAGCTGGGAAACGTTTCGCGACAATACAAGCACGTACTTCCTCAGTGGCGCGGTTGTCTTCGCCATAAGCTTCGACTCGTTCATGGCGTGGCGGTGTTACAGCAGTCAATTTCTATAGGGCCGCGAGATGGCAGCATGTTTTGATGTCTGCGGTTTGCCAAGCAAAGCCATCCGAGTCCCGGCGAAGCCTCGGAAAGCCACCTAAGCTCGAGGTATATACCCCTTTTATGCCTCCAATATATTTCGGCCCTACTTATTCCCCGTGCGGCGTGTGCTTAGTAGCTGGCGTAGTGCTTTGCCCAGGCCTTGTGGGCGGCGCTACGGAACATGACGTTTCTCTTGCGTAGCTTCGGTGGCGGGCTGCTGGCAGCGTCAATGCCCATGGTTTCCTTAAGTGATTTGAGGTAGCGCCAAGCCTTTCGCTGGTCGATGCTGTCCGTGTACATGGCCACGTCTTGCTCCAAATAGTCTTCGACGAGTATGTCTTCGAGGTCACGTTTCCGGGAGAAAGTCTCGCTCCGTTCAAGACTGGCAAACAGGATCTGTTCGGGGCGGTGGTGCTCAGCGGGCCTGCCCCCTGGATGCATCGAACCATCGCTCGCGTTCGGGGCAACGAATGGAACCATTGCATGCGGCGCCATCCTTGCGCTGGAATCAAGCAGGATGCTGCTGTTGGCAGGGGGGGCTCCCTGGATAACAATGCCGTTGTCGGTAGAAGTGGCTCCAGGAACCAGCAGGCCGCCGCCAGCAGGCCCAATTGGAAACGTTTTTATGGCGCCGCCAGCAGGCCCAATTGGAAACGTGTGCATGGCGCCCAGCGGCATGCCGCGCGTCCCCGTGGAATCCTGGAGAGAAGCGCCGCCGGGACCCATGCCGAAGAGGGCAGCGCCACTGAAACGTGGGTGGATACCTCCCGCCTGCCCTCTTCCATGCTGCATGTCCGGGTGGTCCCACGGGGCCGGCAATTGCCAGCACTCGGGCCCCATGCCGGGGGACTCCGAGCCATTGGAGATGTCTCCCTCCTCCGAGACCCCCGCCGCCGTCAGCTCTGCTAGCCCCTCGGGGATTTCGAGGGCGTCGCCGGGCGGCGCAAGCTGCCGAAGAAAGAAATCCTGGGCCCGGTAGTCTTGCACGGGGAGCGCCGGGTGCGCAGCCGTCGGCACCAGAGCTTCCGGCGGCTCGTCCACCGGGAGCTTGAGCGAGCGGACCACGCAGTCCCAATACGTGGCTATGACGGGCGTCTTCCCGTCGCGGAACTTGGAGCTGTGGCCCGCCGCGCGCGTCTCGAAAAGCCGGAGGTGCTCGGCTGCCCTCCAGATGTCGTCCGTGCACACGGTTTTCTCGGGCAGCGCGTCCGCGAAAGCCGCCGGCGCCGTGGTGGCCGTGGCCCTGGCGGCAACAACAGCCAAGAGCATATCACGGGTCCGCATTTTCACGAGCTCGTCGAGGAACACCGTCGCCAGGAGAGCTAGCCGGCCGCCGCCCCGGCTGCGCACCGCAGGCGTGATGCCGTTGGCCTGGTACAAGGCACCCAAGTCCGCGGCCGCGCACGCGTCCACCACGTTCGTGCCCGTGTCGCCGCCACGCGCAGTGTACGTCTCCATGGCGTGGGCCTGGCGGGCCAGCGCGGCGGCCAGCCTGGCCAGCTCGCGGCGGGCGAGAAGAGCGCTCTGCTCGTCTTCAAAGTCCATCCACGCCGCGTCGACCTCCACGGCCGCCGGGATGCGCCAGTAGGACAAGCCCGGCTCGCACACGCGCATCGTGTACGCGCAGCGAAGCTTGCGGGCGCCAGCCGCCGCGCTGGATGTGCGTACGGCCGTGTCGTACGTGCGGAACCGCACGAGCCGGTCGCGGGCGGCCTTCAAGAGGAGGTAGTAGGCCTCGATCTCCACGCGCGTCTTGTGCGGGAGATGAGCGGAGAAGAGCTCGAGCCGGTGGACCGAATAGCGCGCCAAGCACAGGAAAAACACGTCTTTCTCCTGGGCGGACCAGAGCGTGCCCGGCACGCGCTCGGCCCGGTCGATTTCCGCCCGCATTGGCGGCGCATATGCCGAGGCCGGGGGCCCGTCGTTGCAGGCCCGGAGATGTGCATACAGATGCTCCACCAGCGGACGGGTCTGGGCACATCCGGGCCGCCGGGGCCGCGGGAGGTAGTAGGCGGCGCGCGGCGTGTTTTTGCTGGGATGCAAGCGCATGGAGGGGCACTTTCCGGCCGTCCGGCCCGCCGTGTACTGGTGGCTGAAGACCGCGGCCACGTGCCGGTCGAAGTCGGCGGCGTAGGCGGGGCTGAGCGTGGCGCGGGCCGCGGCGGTGTTTTGCGGCCGGGCGCGGGGTTCGGGCTCGTGTTCGGCGGCGCCAGCCGGAGGGGGTTGCATGGGCTTTTTGGGGATCGGTGGTGAGGTCTGGAGTTGAGATGGCGGAGCCGGAGATGGAGGCGGTGTGTGCAGGTCGCCGGCTGTAGTTGTGGTGAGGCCTCTGGATTCTGGGGAGAAACTGCTGACAATTCGGTGACGAGTTCGGGTGAGTTCAGGTGGTGGATTTCAACTTGGTGGGGAATTTGGTAAATTGTGGTGAGGACTCTGGTAAATTGTGGTGAGGAATCTGGTGAGTTCAGGTGGTCTGGTGAAGAATTTGGTAAATTCTGATGAAGAATCTGGTGACAATCCGGTGACGAATTCTAATTCTGGTGAGACCTGCTGAGGAAAACCTCTGCTGAGGAAAACTTAGTCTGGTGAGAATTCGGTGACGAATTCTTATTTCTGTGAGAAACCTCGTGAGAATTCTTATTCTTGTGAGAAACCTCGTGAGAATTCTGGCGACAAATCCTGGTGAGGAACGACCAAAAAAAAAGACCTCCACGAAAGGACAAGAAGGGAAAGACAGGTGGTCGCTGGTTCGTGGCTATACGCTTGCCTATAGATCGTATCCAGCAGGCCCAAGCCAGGCCGCGCCAGACCCAATACCTGGCGCTGTCATGCCCCACCATCGGCGCGGACACGGCGGCACTGGCCATGTTCGAGCGCCGCGGACAATGTCAGTGCGGTAGGATTGGACGGGAAGCTTAGGGGGATCAAAGCGGGAAATCACGACCGGGATATCAAGACCGGGAAATCAAAACCAGAAACCAAACCAGAAATCAAACCAGAAATCAAACCGGAAATCAGATCATCAAACCAGAAATCAAACCAGAAATCAAACCAGAAATGAAACCAGAAATGAAACCAGAAATCAAACCAGAAATGAAACCAGAAATCAAACCAGAAATCAAACCAGAAATCAAACCAGAAATGAAACCAGAAATCAAACCAGAAA